AGTACTGAAATTTACTAGTGTGTAAAGTTATTCAAACTCTGAATGATGGGCATGAAATCTTAATCTAGAGTACCAGTACTCAACTTTCCAGATGTTTTAGTATACACACATAGGTTCTTTATCACTAAAATGATGTCTTATTTTAGTTGCAGCATTCATGAAGCCTTGCAGAATCTGAAAGTTAATACAATTGTGAAAATCTGGAACTGGCTTCATTTTCATTAACATCCTAGAACAAACAGGTAAAACTTTGCTGTTGTATTTGTATGGTATTGTAAATGTTTGTCAGTAATTTTAAAAGATTGAAAAGTTTGAGAATTTGAGAATGAACTTGTTAGAAAAATATGTCCTGGAAATTGCTAAAAAAGAATATAATTGCACACAGAAATAATGCTGGTCTAGAGTAGCTAATGGAGTGCATCAGGGAATTCCAAAAGAAAATCAGCATGTGCTTCATAGACTACAGCAAAGCCTTTGACTGCATAAGACTATGGAATGCCCTTAATGCCATGGGAGTGCCAACGCATCTGATAGTCTTGATGAGGAATCTGTACTCTGTACTTGTATGTATACTTTTTATATCTGTTATTTTAATATGGCATTAGTTTAATTTACTTTTAAGGGGTGGGCAGGTTTGGTAATTAGAACTGGGTTGATCGTTTTAACTTGTATTGTTTTAACCTGCTGTATGCCGCCCCTGCTCTAGACTATAGCAGTGACTTTTCACCCTATTGCCATACAACCTTCAAATCCTGCCACTATTCAGGATAGCATGTTACTTTCCCAAGTAACTGTTGGGAAAGTAACTGTTATGTAAGGCCTGCTAGCTTCCAGGCAAAAATGCTGTTTCAAGTCTTACCTCTCTAATGAATCAATACTGAGCCTCTGTGCTGTTCAACAGACACTTGTCTCTTGTGAATCATGCATGATCATGAGAAAAAGTCAAGCTGGGATAAGAAGGAACCAGACAACCAGGGCTCAGCTGGTCTGGGGACTACTGGTCATACATACTAAGCCATGAGAACTTTGGGTTCATTTGTCACACGGATAGTGTGTTTAAGATGTTTTAAAAACACAAACAAACATGGAAATCAGTGGCGGATTTCAAAGTGGCTGCTCTGTTACTTAGGGCCTTTACAGACTGCCAGAAATAATGCAGCTTGAGTCCACTTTAACTGCCCTGGCTCAGTGCTAGGGAATCATGGGAACTGTAGTTTATTGTGAGCTCTCTGACACAAGGCTCAATGTCTCAGAAAAAAATACAGTTATCATGATTCCCTAGCACTGAGCCAGGGCAGTTAAAGTGGACTCAAGCTGCATTATTTCTGGCAGTCTATAAAGGCCCTTAGTTTTTATTGGATAAAAGATGCTTATCACAGTAGAATTCAAAGATATAGCTGTGTTAGTCTGGAAAATCAGACTACGGGCCTTTGCAGACTGCCAGAAATAGTGCACATTAAATTGAGGCACTGCCCTGGCTCAGTGCTAGGGAATCATGGGAACTGTAATTTATTGTGGCATCAGAGCTCTCTGACAGAGAAGGCTCAATGTCTCAGAAAAAATTACAATTCCCATGACTCCCTAGCCCTACTTGTAGTACTTTTGAGGCTAACTGAAAGAAAGAAGCTAGTAGCATGAGCTTTCATAGACTTGAGTCTGCTTCCTCAGATGCTCATGCTCATGCCACCTGTTTCTTTATTTCAGCTAGTCTCAAAGATGCTACAAGATTCCTTTGCACAGATGCTGATCATGTGTTAATTGCCTTCCATATTGGTAGGATGCTTGTACTAACTGTTTATGACCAGTGTTAATAATATAGTTGTTTCTGCACCCAGTTTTATTCTGACTCCAATCCACTGCTCTATATTAAGCATACATACCGTACTTGAAGCTCCAAGATTACATGCCATGAAATCTAAGGAAATGGCTTACTATCCACAAGAACTTGTGCTGAAATAAATCTGCTAACTTTAAAGGTCTCTTGGTTGTGTTGGATTGTTTCTGTGTCTTAAAGTCATAACTTAAGAAGCTGTCTTTGCAATCAAAGAGGAGAAAGATGAGACTTTTCTAGTCTGGACATTTCTCAAAAGGAAATATCTCATTAAATATATGCCTGTCACTAATATTGCTTCTCTCCCTGTTGTAAGAATATTTGGTAGTTATGCTAACAGAGTGCAGCAGGTTAATGCTGTGAGCCTATGGCTATAAAACAAAAGGAAATAATCTTGATGTTCATGGTGAGTCAAAAAGAAAAAAAATGCTTATTGTTTTAAGAAAACCATTCACAGACAGTAGCAGCCACCAGGGAGCCTCCATAATGGTCCTAGTCTCTTTCTGGCTGGATGAGAAGAACTAACCTCAGAGAAAGAAACTAAAACCTACATGTAGCACTCTACACATAGAACTAAATAGGACAAGAGGGGAAAACACTAGGGAGTATCTGTGTGCCTACTGCTCAACACTACCACCAATTCAGGTTACTTGCTACAACACTAGTTCTTTCATGTTCAAAACCTGTCTTAAGATGGAAAAGCTACAACTATGCTAAGGTGAAGAAGGGGAATCTAGATCAACTCATCTATGGAAAGATCACGTAGGAAAGGGACAAGAAAAACAAAAGCATGGATGCCTCTTTGGACGTATCCACACCGCACAGTTATAGAAGTTGAACACCATTTTAACTTCTTCATTCTATGGAATCCTGGGCCTAGTAGTTTTTATAAGGTACTCTGAATTCTCTGCCAGACAACTCTAGTGTTGCAATGAAAGGGAACACAGTAGAGAATTCTAAGGACCATGCAAAGCTACAAATCCCAGGATTCCATATGATGGAGCCATGGCAGTAAAAGTGATATAGAAGTGTGTGGTGCAGATGCATCCTGTGTCCTGTGCAAAACTTCAGCTCTGATAATGTTTTGGACCTGCATATAGTTCCATAAACTGGGAGTAAGAATTTTCATAAACTGGGAGTAAATAAATATCCCATCCCTTTCTAATTTCACTTCTCAGTGTCCCCTCTGTTTTGGTGGAATAATCTGCTCTTCTGCCCACCAGCAATTACTAAACCAAACATTCATTTCCCAGCTTTGAATGTTCTGGGCAGTTGAAATATTGTCCTGCTGGTTTCTGAATCTTGCCTATTCATTAACATCAGATTTGTGACCATATATTCTTTGGTGTAACACTATAGACAGTATAAGGACTTTGTTGACAAAAGATGGTATAAATCATGCTAGTGTGCTAGCTGGTGAATGAACCCTTGATTTTGCGGCTGGTGTTACTAGGCCCTTAGTAGTGAATATGGCAACAAAGCTGGCACATAGGTTTCTTGAAGGGCCTGGTTGCTAGGTTATCTTTCAGTTAGTTGGCCCATTGTTCCTGGAAAAATGACAAGGACAAAGGGCCTATAAACTTGTCCTTGTTTATAGGCAGTACAGTTATATAAACTACCCCAACTGATCCTACTCCCCCCACCATACAACCTCCGAGACAATGCCTCAAGTTGATTCTTCAAGCCTCCAGTCTCCATTTTGGGACTGGTGTTACTACAGATTCCATAGCTGCCTGTAACATACCACCAGGATTCTTTCTTGTCTCCTACCCCTTGTGTCTCATATTTGTAATGATCAGCTGGATGAAGAGGC